CCACCTTCGGCCTGATCGTCACCTACCTCCTTCTTCGTTGTGGATAAAAAAAATCATTCATCTATGAATTTTATCTTTTCTTACACTATTTTAGATAAACACTATAACGCACGGCGCCCTTGAACTAAAATCACACATAGATAAGTTCATTTGTAGACAACAAATTACAAGTCCAACCTGTTTATAAAATTCTCGTTTTATTTTAAATCTAGTAAACAACCAGAATATCAGAAAATACTTCGTTAGTTCGTTATTCATTAAACCAGTTAAAGGCCTTTAATTAGAGAAAAAAATGAAAATGCTATTTTGTCAAATCATTTACAAATAAAAATACATTACGTGATGTTATTTAACAATCATTACTAATCTTCCATTATCACTAAAGATACGAGTAATAAGATACCTTTACAATTTAAAGGTAAAGTTTACGTTTACAACAGTTTACAAAGATAAAAGTACGGAACAGACATCTTATCTGTTGTGATAAACTTAGATTTACCAACAGAACAATAGATACCATCAATTTTAATCACGAATAGCCGATTTCGCTAGTTTTACATGCATGCATACATATAGCCCAATAACATTACCTTTGGACAACCAACGACGTCACCTATAATACATTTAAGTAACTCAGGGACCTATAGCAACAGTATATCAAAACCATTATTAATAATACCACCCGATAAATCATTCTGACTGCTAAAAATTTTCCTCTTGTAAATTATTTTATCGCACCTGATTGATTAAAAATAATTCAGATTCAGAGGAAAAATTCTGGTTTTAACCTCAAGGACAGAATATTATTTGTACCGGGAAATTTTAATCAAACTTGAGGATTAATTAAACATTTTACTAAAGCCTTTCAGTACAAAGCATCAGCTTTATAAATTGAGGTTATCAACTTGACAGTTATATGAATTAGCATAAAATATAATAATTTTCATCCAAGTAGCAGCATCTTCCAATAAAGTATTAATTATTATGCGAATCAAAATAGCTAATTCACAACATCTTGTACAAATTGCATCTGTGATTAAATTAAACGATGACTGTTGTGTTGAAATTACAACCATTCTGTGCTACAACATCCAAGAAGACGCAATAAACTAGGTATATCATAGCAGACTATGAAAGGAAATCTGGTACACATTATACTTCAGGGATGACTAACGCAGGAGTTGCATCAAGACGGGTACTCACTAGCTAGCTGTAACTTTGAAATATCTGAAGTAACATACGAGTACACATTCTTCATCTGGGGGCACGGCAGTGCCCCCGCCAAGTCGAGCGCGAAGCAAACACTGCCGTACCATCCTTTACTGGAACCATTTCGCCGCATTTTCAGGCCTCTATTTGAGAACCTTTAGATAAGACCAGAACGCAGAAATTTTCGTCATCTAGTAAGCTATAATCACACACTTAAAATCCAAAATTTCAAGTCTGTAGGTCAATTAGTTCCGAAGTTAAGCGAAAGCAAAGTTTCGCATTTATGACACTCACTCACTCACTGATGATCATCAAAATAGAACTAGTACTTCCCATTAACTCAGAGAGCTGAAATTTGGTACAGAGTTAGGGTTTAATGGCCACATAAAGGGAAAACTATAAAAACTAGGAAAATCGAAGATCTGGAGTAACACCACATTCATAATAATCAATACTACTAGCGCCACACCGGCGCCGTGGTGTTCGCCTGTACCGCTCACCGCTAGATGGCGCTAGCACTTTGAGCGTCGATTTTCTGCACCGCGGTGTCCAGATTTTTTTTCCCCTCTAGTTATTATTAAATCAATTCTGATTCGTTGTCCTTTTTAAAGATGTGTTTAATATCGTAAAAAAAATGACGATAATATTAAAGGACGACGACGTTAAATAATTATGCCACATTCTACAAAAAGAAGTGAAATCCCACCAAAAACATTCTGTAAAAAACTAGCCAAGTCTCGATGGAGCTGCTTGTTTATCTCTAAAAAGTAATGAAATCTAGACAAAGTCGTGCCAAGTCTATGGTTCTTTACTGCGATTTCTTTTTTATTATAGTTAATGTTGTGTGACTTGGCCGTTGAACAATCTTTATTAAGATAATCAATAATTATGCATAAGTATTATTGAAATACGCAGCTTTATTAAGCCTACAATTCACTGGTTATTAAATCAACGTTTTCCAAGTGGCAATTTTCCATCGTCAATGGGTAGTGGTTCTGGCAACAGATTGGTGCAATGGTGTCATGGAGCACCTGGTTTTGTACCCTTCAACGGCCAAGTCACACAACATTAACTATAATAAAAAAGAAATCGCAGTAAAGAACCATAGACTTGGCACGACTTTGTCTAGATTTCATTACTTTTTAGAGATAAACAAGCAGCTCCATCGAGACTTGGCTAGTTTTTTACAGAATGTTTTTGGTGGGATTCATATAGACAGCTTGCAAGTCGCAATCAATTAGTATTGCCGCACGTTGCTGTTGCCAAAAACCATGAATTGTGGTGTGAAAACGCAACGCGTTTAAGCCTCCTAATTTACTGGGTTCAGTTTTGTGGTTACGGCTACTGCTGGCAGCCACTGCCAAGCCAAATTGTGCTTGATTGTGTTGATAGTGGATATGCCAGCACCTCAGAAAAATGTAAAATTAAATAAATGTTTCTAAATCACACTAGAATTTTACAGCTTGCTAGTGAGCAAACAGCTTTACGCGATTCACCATGCCGATAGCCACAGAACAGGGCTTTTAGCTGTATTAGTATTAGCTGGGTTGGGCAGCCAACCCATGCTCTAAGTAATTACATTATCCGCAGCACGAAACGTGAGCGTGTCGATTTGTGGACTAACTTTATATAAAACACCATGGAATATAAAAAGATCGATGCATAAGCTTCTTTTATTACTTCAATAGTTACAGTCAAGTCAAGCATTATAATTATTATTATTTTTTGTTACTTTCTCACTCACACGATCACTACAGCATGTCGGTAGTGAGCTGTGTAATTAGTGATTTCTTTAATATTACATCGTATTCGTCTGTCATTCAATTTAACAATATCAGAGAAAGATTTGCAGTCTCTTTTTTATAATTCGTTTAAGATTTTCTCCAGTTTTATAATTTTTAACAATTATACTTTACTTTGTAACGTTTTTGCATTCATACTTTTGGTGTGAACTATCATTGTTGCTGGGACGATATCAATGTTTATTGAGACCTCTTGGATCTTCAATTAATGTATAGTGTTGGTAGCTAATTTAGCCTAAAGCAAAACGACGTTATCTATATATATAAAAGAAAGTCGTGTTAGTTACTTCGCTTATAACTCAAGAACGGCTGAACCGATTTAGCTGAAAATTGTCAGGGAGGTAGTTTAGAGCCAGGAGAAGGACATAGGTTACTTTTTATCCCGTTCGAAATAAAAAAAGTCTGCTTATTTATTGCCATTAAGGCGGAACAAAGTTCGCCGGGTCAGCTAGTTTTTTATATTAAACCATTCAATGAAGTAGGTACAGCAAATAATTTTGATATCACGATTGAATTTGATTGATTGAAGCAATTACTTAGCAAATCTATTGAAGTTACGGCCTTACTAAAAATAAACACCTTATTATTTACGCGCCATTTAGATATTTAGGTACATTTCCTTTAAAGAAAGGTTGGTCAGGTAGGTAGTTGTAGTTTTTTAATTTTCCAGAAAACAGACAACAATACAAACATCGTGTGTAGTGTAACTATTGTCGTTTCTCGCGGCGCATTACACGCTCTATTTGAGCCGCGAGGCAGATCTCTAAATGATTGAAATACAGTATGCCAATTTGCGCTGGCCCAATTTTGAGACAATTTGAGCGAATTGAGTAAGAGATCATCCGGCGCGAATTCGATCGAGTGACGGTAATTGGGTTCAACGTCACTGAAATTGAAGAAAAAATATTGACAACCTAAAATCTGTGCTATGTTATGGCTGTTAAACAGTGCCTACTACTACGAGTACTCCGTTATTGATAGTTGTGAAGATTATGTGCGTCTTACTGACTAAAACGAAAGTGAATTTATAATTTTACAACTAAGCTAGAATTAAAGATTTTTACGACTAAGCTAGAATTAAAGATTTTTGGGCCTAAATCTTAAAGGATTATGCTGGCAATCAGGAAAAGGAGATTGACTATAATTCAAATGTGCATGCATGCACAGTGTTGGTATTTTTAACGATCTCGTAATGAAATTGGTACCAATGCTCGCAGCGTATGGCGTATGTCACGCAAATGAAACGCACTGGGCGAATCAGTTATGGAAGCAGGTAACACCGCCATTTAGAAGATATGGATAGCTTCCATATACCGGCTGACTAAAATGGTACTCAATTTGTTGACGCGTTAACTCCCAACGGACTACTAACTAGGCAATTAAAATTAAACTATGAATTGATTTGTATGCCAAATGTCACCCGAATACAAATTACGTAACCGACATCCGTATCTTCATAAGCTAATCAATTTTCTATTTATTTTACTCCTCAAGGAAGATACAAGGTCAGGCAGACAATTTACTGGTATTTATGTCTATTTTATTTAAAACCCGTTTTAGTCACCGGTACAATACGGTAGCCAAAAATTTTGAATAGAACATAAAGTAAAGTGTATGCTGTATAGGTACCGAAGATTATATTCGTACTGGTATAAGGTTATCAGCTTCTACAGGCATATTTAAGACTGTATCTATACAGGCCTTTTTCGGGACAGTTATGTATTTAATAGCTTGAAATGCACCGCCAACTGATCCTTTAACTCGTTTCAGTCTATTGTCGTACACTGCTGGATAATTACCTTCCCCATGCATATCATGCATTTCATTCATCATATGCATTTAGGACGCTATTTGGATCAAATATGTAATTGCTCAATAATGAATAATAAATAAATAAAATAAATAAATAAAATCCACAACGACCAGCCTTATAATATCAGATATTATTTTGTTATTTGACAATGTCCTAATTCAGTCCTTCTTTCACAGGCATGCATGGAACAAGAGTCCCGAGTGGCGGAGCTTCGGTCCCTAGCGGCAAGAGTGGCGGCGGAGACAGGCTCCCGCGCCCTGCAGGCCGACGCAGACGCCCTAGCGCGCCGGCTGCAGCTCGTGGCTGGCGCTGTGCAAGCCCTGGCTGACCTGGGCGAAGCCCGACAGCTGGCCAGGGCCAAGGCGCAACATGCCAAGGACAAGTTCTGCGATATGAGACAGGTGAGCCTTGGGAACTATGTCAATCATAAGGTCATAGCCATGTACACATGGAGGCACATGATTTTGGGATTAAAGAAGCATAGAATCAATGTTCTTAGCGTATGACCCTTTCATAAAACAATTGCCAAGGATTTTTCGAGCTCTTTTGTAATCAAACACAAAGTAAACACACGGGCGAGTGTTCGTTAATGAATTAATCGATTATAACGGATGCCAATGCCTTTCCCACTTGCATTATCAATGAGGCAATAACGGTCACCCTTGATATCGATCGCGCAACGTTATATCCCGAAGGATTCCATTTACTATGACTTTAATTACGAATGTTTTATGAATCATGACGTGCACGCATTTCTGCCACGCCGGAATGTTAATTAATTACAACACTCACGGTACATATATTATATTTAATTCGCAAGGGGAATGAACTTTGCGACAACCCGTCGCCCTCTTTATCTGTTACTGACTGTGGCAGTTTGATAATGTAAACTGTACTTTCCAGGATCTGGCCCCGCTACACGAAGACGGCGAAATTGTAGAAGACAAACTTATCGCTCTGCGAGAAAACCTGATAGCGCTCGGCAAAAGCGAAGCGGATATAGCTCCAGCCAAAGCGGAACTGCCCGACATTGATCGCGACGTATCTGACGAGCACTCTATAGTTAGAATACTAGAGTTATGGCAGGCGATGTTCAGAGACACGTTCCTGCATTACCACAGACTATCCACCGCCCTCGTCAGATCTGGAGATGCTGCGACTGCTTTGCGGTTATGGCACGAATACCTTCTGGATCTCCAATCGTTCCTCTCTGGATCAGTACCAGCCGACTACGAAAACTTAACGGAACACAGACGTTTATGTAGGGTTCATCGAAACCTGCTGACGTCACAACGGTCGGTGCTTATGAACGAGAACAAAGAAATGAAAAACAGAGACTTGGCTGATAAATTCGATACATTAACGAATCTACATAACGAGACTTTAGCGAGAATCGTTGAAAGACACGATGAGGTTTGCACTCGAATCGCCGCCTGGGATGATTATCGAGATATCAACACCGAACTTCTTCGATGGCTCAAAGAAATGGAGAGGGAGAAAGAGAAATTACAACTTAGATATGTACACATTAAGAGGATAAATAAGATATTAACCAAAATACAGAATCTCTCTGATAAAGTACCTGAAGGAAGAAAGCAGGCGGAAAAATTGTTATCAAATCTCAAAAAAGTGCTCGAATTTACAGAGGAAGCATACGGAGCGTCAGTTAGGATTGAGTATGCGGGCGCTGTAAAGAGAGTTGATAACTTACAAGCTAGTCTTGACACATGGAGAGATTTCTTGTCCCGAATACTTGCCCTCGTGGGAGAGTATGAATCTTTGACCAACGAGCTACACAAAACTTACTCAAGGACTCAGGATGAAGTAAACACTTATTCTGATGAAGAACGGCTTTCAAGGCCTCAACTCAAAAAAGCCATCGAGAAGTACTCGGATTTGAGGACAAAGATCGAGAAAACTGAAAGCCAAATTGAAGCTCTGAGCGTCGTACAAGAGCAACTTAAAGAATGCCTCAGTCCTCAAGACATCAGAGTAGTGAACCAGAAATTATGGCAATTAAGGCAGCAACGAGCAGATTTAGAACATCAGCTATCAATTATAATCCACCGACTACAAGAGCGATTAGAAATCTACACAATTTACGAATCACGACTAACTCGGTTCAGTGAATGGCTGACAACCCTGGAATCTCGTCTTGAAACTACTAGTCAAAGCAGTGAAATCAGCGCGCTTGATCCACATGACCTCATAAGAAGAATAAATTCGGATATTCAGGCTGAAACTGCAATGAAAGAACGTGAATTCGAATGGCTCTCTGAAACTGGCAATACACTCACAGAACTATCTAAAAAGGATGAAAAGTCCTACAGCAAGAACACCGCCAAACATCTGAAAGATGTACAGGAACGTTGGCATAAAGTACAAGAAACGGGCAGAAGTAGAATAGCTAAGATCACAGAATTGCTCGAAACAATATTGCAACTGGAGGAACGATTAACTGAAATAAGAACAAAACTTCATATCGTTGAGTCCAGATTGACTGCTACTATCATCTTAGAACATTTGACTACTAAAGCAGTTGATGAGAAGTTCAAAGACCGCGATGATATTCACAAGAGCATAGAAAATAAGAGCGGAGAAGTAGGAGAAACTCTGAACCTCTGCCAACTGGTGTTCAACGACCCGGACGTACTCAAAGGCAACTTCGATCTCCGAAACCTACATACCGGATTCGATATAGTCGAAAAGAAATGGAAGAACATCTGCGACATGTCTGAACAGCGCAAAGGCACTCTCAAGGAGATTCGCAAATCGGCTGAACTGGCCCACTCCCTACTGCCTAAAGTGGAGAAGAAGCTGGATTCAATCGAGAGGCGAGTCGAGAAGATAGAAACCCGCAAACAACGCGGCGAGCCTGAGGACGAGAGTGTGTCTAAAGCGGTTGTTAAAGATTTGGAAGCGCTTGAGAGTGACGTCAAGCGGCTGGAAGATTCTTACAGCCGAGTGGCGTCGGCTAGAGGCGTGGAGCTTCGTGGCGAGGGTGCTGACGATGCAGCGCGATTGCGTGCTGCGGTGCGGCGCTGGCAGCAGCTACGTGGCCGCGTGGATGCCGCTGGCGCTGACGTGCACAGGCAGTTCGTGGCCGCACACGGCAAGGCGGTTGTGGCGTTAGCTGAAGCTGACGTGCGACTGACTCGCGCTCTGCACCTCTCACCAATGCCATTGGACAAAGTCGCTACCCTCAAGGAATTAGAAGTAAGTTCAACCCTTTGTTTAAAATTTTCATGATCACTATCTCTCAAATTGTTATCAGCTACGGAATTTCTTAGGGACTCTTTTCGTTGAAGTGAGAAATATTTCGACGCAGTTTCGTACATGAACGATGGTTTCATTTACGAATTATGTTGTATTTCATCCTTCCGTTAGCATTTCACTCTTCTTCTGCATTACCGTATCTCATTACAACTTGTACACCTCCAGGGCGTGGAAGAGGAAGTCCGCGAGTGCGAAGACCTAGTATCAGCGGCCGACCGGCTGTCACTGGGGCTGTCGGCGGCCGGCGTGGCCGACATGGCGGCGGAGTACCGCGCGCTGCTGGCCGACGTTCGCACGCGGCTTGACGTCGCCCGAGCCGACGTCGTTGGAGACGTGGACACTGCTGTGCAGGTACTGGCAGATATTGAACTTGTTTTCAGATTTTTGGAGCTTCTATCAAGCCCTCTTACTTTGAATGATCTTAATGGTCGATGACTCTTTACAAACCAGTTAACATTTACAAAACTCCAATAGTACCTATTCAGGTCTAAATCTTATGGAAAACTTTTAGGAATATCTCCATTTTACCTCCACTTCTGCTCAGCGAAGCGTATTTCCCATTCCGTGTTCAATTTTCGACGAAAATCGGCACGGTTTTGTATTACTAAAGCCTGGTCCGTGAGCACGTAGAATTTTGTCCAATGACCCCAAGCTACCCATCCTTATCGCTCGCGCGTAATTATATTGCTGTCGCGACTGTGCGACGGGCGCCTGCAGTGAGTGTGCGAGCGCGACAGCAACATGATTACGCGCGAGCGATAAGGATGAGTAGCTTGGGGTCATTGGACTAAATTCTACGTGCTCGCAGACAAGACTATAGCCGATATTGATCGTGTTTCAAAATTTTGCAGCTTCTATCAAGCCATCTTACTTTGAATAATCTTAATGGTCGATGATTCTTTACAAACCGGTTAACATTTACAAAACTCCCATAGTATCCAGGTCAATTTTTTTTTATGCTATACAAGGCAGGTATTTGACCGCAATCACACCTGGTGTTAAGTGAGATGCAGTCTAGGATGGTACATATCTGCCCTGTAAGTGCCTATTCACTCTCGCCTTGAAAACGCCCGGATTATTAGTGTTCAGGAAATACAGCAGCAGGCAGCGAATTCCAGTCCCTAGCTGTTCGCATTATAAACGAATCCTTCGCTTCTGGTGAATTAAAGAGAATCTTGCTTCTGCAGTAGTGATTGAATGTCCTGATTATGATCTCAATTTTTAGGTTGATACCTTGAAATGGGAGACAGATGCAGCCCTCCAAGTAGACACCCTAACGTCAAAGGAGACCTACAGAGCTGAACTCATAGTCGCAGTGAGAGAGACTTCGGAATCTCTCGAAGCGCTCCGAACGGCTCTCATCCAGCAGCCAAACGAAAACGCCAGCAGTGAGGACTTGGCAACGGCCGCCAAGGACATCGCCAAGGCTGGCGCCAAGCCGAGCCAAACGTTGGAGCTGGCGAAGCATCTGTCGGAACTACTCCTAACAGAGTGCGACGCGACCGAAGACGAAGCTATGCTAAAAGAAGTCGAGTCGCTCTCTTTGAGATACGAGGACCTCTTGGCCCAGGCCAAGAAACGGGAACTACAGATCAACAACTTGAGGTACGTTGTGTTTCTTAGCAAATATCTATACTAAATCAATGGTCAAAGCTGACATAAATGTTGAGTTTGCAGTTTGCTTGTTATCTTTGATCATTGGTGCAAATCAATATTGATGTTTAATGGTAGCACTAGCACTGATTTGCATTTTGGTGGTGGGGCTTGACAAAGCTGTTATTGAACAGTGCATAGATGTATCGGTGACGTCACTTCAGCACGTTCTAATACTGAAGGTGACTTTCTTCTTTCAATACACCTTTGAATGTAAAGTTTGCAATTTATTTATAACATGTAAATATTTTCAATTTATGTCTTGTTTATTGACTATTTATTTTATTCTTCTACCGAGTATCGTGTGAGAAGTAAAAGAGGGTAAAGAAAAATTTCTCAAAAATGGAAATTATTGTTGTAAACGCAGTTGTTTTCGTTTTCCTGGATTTGCAAACGACCAGTCTGCGTGTGTAACAGCTTCCTAACAGGCATGCTCTAAAGTCTGCGTTTTCTGGTCCCTTAGGTTGCCGCACTCGGCATCGTACGCGCTCACGTGCGAACAGTGAGTACTGCTTACCTAATATTTTGTAACGCTAAGTTTTTTGCTATCTGGTTAGTTCATCAGTATTACATAATAGTCCCCAAATTATCTAGATATTATATTTATTATTTGTATTTCCAATTTATTTATGTAAAATTTAAATGTTGCACGGATTTTTAACATAATCAAGAACAAATTAATACATTATGTAACAATAACCAGATGAATCTAAATACTTAACTTTTTATGATTCAAAATAAATAATATTATTTTTTGTTTAGGTATATTAAGATTTGCATTTTTACTATCTACTATTATTACTATATTTCCCTGACTATATTTCTTGAGAATGAGAATGTAATTGATAGCATTAAACTTAGCATGCATGAGTTTGTTGTCGTAGTTAACGCACATGTAGAATTTAGAGCACAATATTATTTTAAATCACTCACAGTATTAATATTATTGCACAGCACCAATATTTTATCATAATTATTATTGCTTCATATCGATGCAGTAATTAGTTTGATAAACGAGACGAGGCTTGGCTACATTTTAGCTTTGTAAGTAAACATAAAATTTCATTTAAGATACTATTAAAGTACCATCAATTCTTGAAAGGTTTGCGATTCAGCCAAGTCCCAGTCTTTATGACGTCACCCTAACATGTCATTTTGTCCGCTCCACAGCGAGTCTGGGCGACTGACGTGCCCGCTGTGCTCCGAACGCAACTGGAAGCAACTAGACAACGACTTGTGGCGACTGGAGCAGTGGCTGCAGTTCGCTGAGGCCACCGAAGCCGCCAGAACTGATCCGCCCGAGCAGTACGACTCTTTGGAAGACGCTATACAGGTTGGTGACGACTTCAGTAACTTGGTGATAGCTTCCATCGTCTGTAACTGTAGAAGAAGCAAAATGGCCTTTTGAATCGTCTACGTCAACCTCGAGAAGTCCATCAATGGATTGACTCACCCATAAAACACAGTGATCAAATCTCACAGAACTGACAAAAGTTTAAGAAAGGTAACCCTCGAGAGGATATCATGAATTGGTAATAGCAGCGTGGGTAAGCTTCAAAACCAGTGGAAGATGATCTTATGAAGGTTGTAAAAACTGCTGGATGTAATCGCCCGGACTTGTATTATTTTGATTCTGATTTCGTGCAAAAAGTTCTTGTAAGACATTTAGCACCAGAATCAATTTCCCCAAATCCACCTCAGATCGGACAGGTTTTTTAAACTAAGACGTGCGCTTCTAGATTTGTATAAAAACTAGTAGTTGACAATGGCGCCACTACGGAGATTCCTCACGCTTCTAACTTGAAGGCACCCTAAGTTCTTCCGCTGATCATTGACGAATATTGGCAACTACTGATCACTAACATAAACCAACTCATCCCGCAGGACCACCGCGAGTTCCTGCTGGACCTCGACTCGCACAAGTCCATCGTGGTGTCCCTCAACGTGGTGGGTTCCCACGTGGCCGCGCACGCGAGCGACGCGGGCGACGCCGAACGCGTGCGCGCGCGTCTTGCAGCCGCCAACCGCCGTTGGGATGCCGCGTGCACCCGCGCTGGGCTATGGCAGAGACGGTTACAACGCGCGCTCGTGCATAACCAGCAGTTCCATGATATCGGTGAGATGCTCATAGTCGTATTGATTTGCAAAATATGAATGGTTCCGACGCAAGCGATGCCGAACGCGAGCGCGCGCCTAGCCGCTGCCAACCGCCGCTGGGACGCGCCGGGCTATAGCAGCGACGACTACAACGCGCGTTGGTTCATAACCAGCAGTTCCACGATATCGGTGAGATGCTCATAGTCGTATTGATTTGCAAAATATAAATGGCTCGCACGTGGCTGCGCACGCGAACGACGCGGGCGACGCCGAGCGTGTGCGCGCGCGCCTGGCCGCTGCCAACCGCCGCTGGGACGCGCCGGGCTATGGCAGAGACGGTTACAACGCGCGCTCGTGCATAACCAGCAGTTCCACGATATCGGTGAGATTGCTCGTAGTCGTATTGATTTGCAAAATATAAATGGTTCCGACGCGGGCGACGCCGAACGCGTGCGAGCGCGTCTGGCCGCTGCCAACCGCCGCTGGGACGCCGCGTGCACCCGCGCCGGGTTATGGCAGCGAAGACTACAACGCGCGCTGGTACATAACCAGCAGTTCCACGATATCGGTGAGTTGCAAGTCAGATAATAGTGCCACCACCGTTGGCCCAAAGCAGTGATAATTTTTCTCAACACCTGCTGTCATGTTGCTTCGAAGTGATGTTAGGGCAAACCATATTGAGACGAATCAAATCTTGTCTCTTAGCCAATAATTCCATGACATTGGCAGATTCCAACTTTCATGATTTTTAAATATCAATTAACAGTTTTTGAACACTTGATAATTTTAGGGAGCTTAGAGACGAGCGATAGTTCGTCAGAGTCATTTATCGGCGACTCTCTCTGATTTTAACTAACGTCATCTCTAAGTCCAGCCTGTTGTCATTTATCCAACCCTATTCTTAACTTTTGACTCCTCTTCCAGTGGTGGAGCTAGTGGCACGCCTATCAGCGGCGGAACGCGGCGTGCGCGCACGCGAACCACTGCGCCTATCGCGACCGGTGGACGCACTACAACGCGACTTCCGGCGCTTCAGCGAGCTGCGCGACGAGCTGGCAGCCGCTGAACCACGAGTGCTGGCGCTGCATGAAGCGGCGCAGCTGCTGAAGGCTGGCGACGCTCCACCGCACTCGGAAGATATTTGCCGAAGGTAGGGTTCCTTGTCTTTTGATAGCTAGCGCTGCAACGCGGCTTCCGACGCTTCAGCGAGATGCACGACGAGCTGGCAGCCGCTGAACCACGAGTGCTGGCGTTACATTAAGCCGCTCAGCTGCTGAAGGCTGGCGACACTCCGCCGCACTCTGAAGACATTTGCCGAAGGTAGGTTTCCTTGTCTTTTGAAAGTCTAGCGCTGCAGCACGACTTCCGACGCTTCAGCGAGATGCACGACGAGCTGGCAGCCGCTGAACCACGAGTGCTAGCGTTACATGAAGCGGCGCAGCTGCTGAAGGCTGGCGACGCCCCGCCGCACTCAGAAGACATTTGCCGAAGGTAGGTTTCTGTTTGTCTTTTGATAGTCTAGCGCTGCAGCGTGACTTCCAGCGTTTCAGCGAGCTGAGCGACGAGCTGGCGGCCGCTGAACCGCGTGTGCTCGCGTTACATGAAGCCGCACAGCTGCTGAAGGCTGGCGACGTTCCACCGCACTCTGAAGACATTTGCTGAAGGTAAGTTTCTCCTGATGAGACCAGGCACTTTCGACTGCCTTCATCTCGGCTGGAGGACGCTACATGAAAAGCTGGCAGCCGCTGAACCACGCGTGCTCGCTTTGCACGTGGCAGCCCAGCTGCTGAAGGCTGGCGACGCCCCGCCGCACTCTGAAGACATTTGCCGAAGGTAGAAGTCTGCTTGTCTTTTACTTGTCCATTAGATTACTTCTTCCGGCGCTCCAGCGAAATGCGCGATGAACTGGCAGCAGCTGAACCACGAGTGCTGGTGATGCCCCGCCGCATTCTAAAGACATTTGCTGAAGCTAAGTTTCTCCTCATCAGACCAGCCTCATTCCATTGCCTCTATCCCTGCCAGTGGACGCGCTAGTGTGACTTCCAGCGCTGCTACTGCTGAAGGCTTGCGATGCGCCACCGCACTCTAAATACATTTGCCGAAGGTAGGTTTCTCCTCATCAGACCAGGCCCATTCGACTGCCTCTATCTTTGCCGGTGGATGCGCTGCTGCGCGACTTCTGAGAGATCATTTGGAAGAATTTCCACTTTGTTTCTGACGACGTAGTGGCAGAAACAAGTGACCACGAAATCCACTGTAGGAACTTGCAAGTCCATCTCATTTTCTTCAGCAGCATTCAATTTATCCTTCCATTGTGGATCTTCAAAGTTTTCTTTGTTTTTAATAGTGCTTTGACTGACATATAAACACTTATTTTACTTATTTTCTTTTGTTTTTAAATCTTTGTTCACATGGATGTTGTTCTTACACTTAGCTCATAGCCTTGTCTAAGTGCTATATGGTTCGAGGCGGTGGGAGCCTGATGTCCTGTAACACAGGTATTCGATAATCGATACCTAGCATAGGCATCAGACTCACACTGATATTAAACATTATAATCATAATTATCTCATGTATGTTGTCTGTGTAAGTAAATAAAGATTTTGATTTGATTTGATTTGACTTTGATTCCAGACTGGCAGAACTCCGTCTCCGTCTGCAATCCCTCCGCAAACTCTCAGGCGTGTACGCCCTGAAGCTGGGCGCGGCCCTCGCGCGCCACCCCGCGCGTCCCGCCTCCGCGCTCGCCGCCGCCGCCGCCGCCGCCGCGCCGCAGGTACTTAACTACCCCCGTTGAGTTAGAAGTACCCACATTATTGTGTAGTTTGAATTCGAGGAAGTTGTTACAATAAATGTTGATGTAGTAATGGGAAGCCCGTAACGTTTGTTATTAATAAGTCATAACAAGTAAGACTAATTTAACAATTGGTGGAAATTACGCCGCCGCCGCGCCGCAGGTACTTAACTACCCCCATTGAGTTAGAACTACCCACATTATTGTGTAGTTTGAATTCGAGGAAGTTACAATAAATGTTGATGTAGTAATGGGAAGCCCTTAACGTTTGTTATTAATAAGTCATAACAAGTAAGAGTAATTTAACAATTGATGGAAATTATTAATCCTTTAGTTATTAGTTATTGGTCGGATACCCACATCTGAAGTATTTATATGAGCTAAAAAGTTATGACAAATTAATTTTTTTTTTTTTAAGGAAACAGATTACTGTTTATTTTGTCCAAAAAAATTACATAGTCATGTTTACAAATTAAAATTGATAATCAGATAATTTTAAAGACAAAGTTGGCCTTAAGCCATTTAAATAGATTAACGAAGTATTTTTCCTTTGCTTCCCACCGCTTCCCCGACCACCGAGCACCGTCAGAGCCACCGTACAGCAGCTTGTTTTGTTCATTTGCCGTACAATAGAACCCTACTGACAGACCTGAATTGATTAGAAACCGTTTTACGATTTAAGATTAAACTGTTTTGAACAACTTAGTTACCCTTTGATTTATCGAAATGCAAACACTATAAAAAGTATCGATTGGCATTTTTTGTCGAAGTTGTAATGTCAGTTTACGAACTTATAACCTCTATAACGCGAAACCCCATTGATCCTAATTGCCTTTAGAGACTAGAACTAACATTGTATTCTGTGGTTGTGCCTTTAAATTTAAATAAATAAACACGTATCTAGCAGTATTATAGTGTTTGCGCGTCGACCCCATATTACACCGTAGCCGCTTCGCACCGTATGTTGACGATTGTTTCCTCCCTAGCTCATGGAGGAGGAGGAGGACCAGATGTCTGCCATGCACCTCCCGCCCCTGGACGAGTCCGAGTGAGTACAGTTCACTGATTTGTCAGCGTCGAGTTTGGCAGCGTCAAGTTTGTCAGCGATCAGTCAGAACTGTTTCTTTTAAAAAATCAATTTACACTCAACAGTTTTTACACTTGTGTAGTATTGTAAATACAATTTAAATCGTAATATAATTAGTATGGAATTTTGAGACTGACTGCTGACAAAAATAAGCCTTACACAAACAGTAGTTTGATGCCTAACACCTCTTCTTTTGCATAACATTTACATAGACTAGAAAATAGACCTAGTTTTAGAATCAACCTTTTAACATTTGATCTCATTTTTTATTTTCAAAGTCTTGAATTTTAAAGCTTTAAATCTAGTCAAATTAAAAGACTGAATAAAAATTAAAAGATTCGTGCATGCGTCATTTCTCATGATCATGAAAACTTCATTGACAAGTTTCTTCTGTTGCGCATGTATTCAAACTTTCAAAATCATTTCATTCCAAAACAAAACATCTAATTATAAAAAAAACTACCGTTTAACTGGGTCGAGACCATAGTGGATCTACTCTGTAATATGATTTTCGCTATACCTATCAACTCCATCTATTTTTCACTCTTCTACATCTCATGATGAGTGAGAAAGACGAAAAGAGCCAAAAATATCGTTTGCCCATAGACTTTAATGAACTACACATTACAGAGTAGCTCCATGGTCTCGAATCAATGTGGACTACCATATTTGAACTCACCAGGTCAGTGTCACTCGGTCGAGTAAGATCTTGTCACTTGCCAGTGGCGCCAACTAATGAGCGCATATATTGCGGCCCTCATTCAGTTAATAGATTGGCGCCAGTGTTGGTAAGATCATGTCAGAGTAAATACAAATGAGTAGGTTATCTTCATAGAAACGCACCGAGCGCACACTGACAAAATTTTGCGCGGATTAGCGGGTTCCAGTCGTGGTTGCTCCAAATTTTGTCAGTGTGTGCGTGCGCGCCGCATACGTATAGCTGGTGGTGATCCAGCAAACGCCTCGAAGTCTTTTGCTGGCTTATTTTTCATCCATACTGGCAGATTGAACCCATCCTTAATCTCAGGGTCAGATGCCATCTTGTCAATGATATTTTATTAAAACTTAAACTTTAACACGAACAATCCTAATCAAAGCACCTAAAGAACTGCTTCAACACGGAGCGGGGAATTGAATGATTTGAATTATCTTGAGCAGAAAAGATAAGATTGTCTCATTGGCGCGCTCACATACAAACCGCGCTCGGTGCGTTTCTATGAAGATGACCTACTCATTTGTATTTACTCTGATCATGTGATCCTGTCACTCGCTAGTGGCGCCAACTAGTGAGCAAACATGGTAGCTCTCAGTTAACCGGTAGTGCTCCGGCATATTCTAAACCCAAAATTCTCCACAGCGTGGTCGTAAGTGAAGAAACCGAAGACCAAGAGCTGGGCCGGCTGCAGCGCGGGCTGCGGTTCGTGTGTCGCGTGGCCCGCGCCTCGCTACCTTTCCAGGCGCTCCTACTGTTGCTCCTCGGGGCCGCGGCCCTGGCGCCCCACGCGCATTCAGACTGCCGCGCGCCCGGGCTGGCCCTCGAGCCGGTCCTGCGCTACCCCGAAGGCCCCCCGCCGCTATGATCCCGAAACCGAAATCGAAGTTTTTTAGAAAAAATCAACCAGTACTGCAACTTGGGTTAGGTTTTAGTTACGATGCAACCGTTTTAACTTTGATGATGACGTGTCAATTTTAAAACTGATAATATAGTTCCAAAATACTGAACTGTCCTATCCATGACATTGACAATGGGGCGCCACCGTCAATACCGGATAGCTGGTTCCGATTTTTGTCATGTTGGAAACCATATAGTTGAACGATGGTAGCGCCCCCCTGTCATTGAGTTTGGTGGGACAGTTCAGCGTGGGTCATCTATACTATTAATGTTTCTAAAAGCTTATCCGAGACAGTGTGAAATCGTGACCACACAGTGACAGTAACTATCGCTACCCCTCTAAGATGTAGATATTGCCGTTGATGGTAACGATTTCGAAATCAAAAATGCAAAAAAAGACGGGATTGGCATTTTCAATCAAACTCCTATGTGCCAGTTCTGTATAATATTTTAATCAGCTGCAAGCTGATATTGAATTTTAGTGCCACAAACACAAGTTAATTAACAAAATCGTTGTATGAGCTCGTGGCCAGTGACTTGATAATCGCATCGAGCATGCAAAGGCCCTAAGAATCTTGTCACATCTGACAGCGAGTTTCACGCCACTGGTCGCGACTTAGTTTGTGGCTATTTAGAGTCGGTTGTATGGAATAAATGTATGAAGTAGGCCGATGTATGGTCGGCGAGGCGCGTTCGCCGCCGCCTTTCGCGCAAACGCGGCGGCCGAGCGCGCGGTACATTCCAGTTGGTGTTGCGAAAGTTTCGATATACCCTATCGATTGTCGACCTCGAACCTGCTATAATGTCGATGAGGATATTGAGTTAACCCGACGTGACATCCGCAATATTACCCCAAAAACCAGTTGATTTTAAAAATACCAAGTATGTAACAGTAATACAGTACCAGTAGGCGCGAATCACGCCTGAATATTTCCATACAAATTCTACAGACACGAAGTTTTACACATTATAAACAGTGGACTAGTGATGTCACGTTCCCTTTTGACGTTATTCCAATCGATATTTCGTGGCGCGACATCGATGGTTTATCGGTGGCAGGTCGCAACACCGATTCCAGTTGGTGCTAACGTGGCGCCCGCCGCTTGTATAATATAACTTTTTGTATATTTGTTACGTCGGTTAGGGAAGTCGTGTAAAAGACATGTGAAGCAGCGGCGGACGCGACGACGTCACCCGTGAATAGAGCTACTCCGCAAAACTATTTCTTAACCGACTCTACTCGTCTCTCTCTCCCATACTTATATTCCAACTTGAGTGAGAGAGACGGGCAGAATATACCAGAAATAGTTTTGCAGAGTAGAAATCTCAGATATTTATCGATATTTATTATTTATACGGATGTATTTAACGCCGCACAAACGTACCGACGGCTTTCGATTCGCATTCACGCATTGTTACTTAACTATTAGATAGTAAGGAATGTTTATAATAAAGTCAAATAAAGCCTTTGCATTGATTGAAATCCGAAGTTTTATTTACACTAAATTATGAGAATAACACCTACTGTCTATGCACAATATAATTACAAAGAAAAACTTACAGTCTCTGCTAAAATTCTTCATGTCTTCGAAGACACTTATCTGAAAGGGTAGACAGGCGTTAGGTTATAATTTGTTTACTTATTTACATTATTTTATTATGGACATTATTTTATATTAGTATTATTATTTTACGGACGCTTAAAATATCCAATTTCCCCTGACCCCCCGAAATAAAACATACTTTGTACTACGAGTCGAGCATAGCATCCGGTGAGATGTACACCTACTTCCAAGCAACTACTTTCTAGCTTTTATACCGTAATGGACGTCATTGGTTTGACTACTGCCGCCATTTTAGTCTTTAGGGCGAGTCTCCTCGAAGTTTTAACTTGATTTACAGCCTTGGCCAAAAGTATTGAGCACCCCCTAAATACTGCTTATACGTGATAACTATAAAAGATACTCAAAGATATTTGATAAAAACCTTTCTTTGACAGGTTTTGAAACATAAACTCACGGCACAACGTGCAATAAAACACGTTTCGAGATGTTTAGCTATGATACTGTAGTATTGTTAGTCTTTGAAAAATCATAAAAAATCTTCTTCCGACCTCGCTGCTGAGTTATCAGCTGAAATTAATACGCCGATTTCTGGAAGAACAACTCGCAGAAGACTCCAAGAAGCTGGGCTTAAGGGCTATACAGCCAGAAAGAAGCCATGGCTCTCAGTAAAGACCAAAACAGCTCGTTACGAGTAGGCTTTAAAATACCAAACTTTTACCGAGGAAGATTAGAAAAATATTGTGTGGTCAGATGAATCAAACTTTGAGGTAAGTTAGCCAATATCATGTAATAACAATACGCGACAATAATATTATAAAACTATATTTGTAAAAATAAATATTGGACCGAAAAACACTTAACAAAATTTCGTTACTTTATGATTGTTGGCACACCTGGTGTGACATTTGTCCGTCGTCGAGTAGACGAAGAATTTACCCCGGAGTGTAAGGTACCTACCGTCAAACATGGCGGCGGCAGTGTGATGGTCTGGGGGTGCATGAGCGCCGCAGGAGTTGGGGAAATGTTTGTGTGTGAAGGACGCATGGACTCTACAAAGTACATAAACGTTCTTGAATCCGCACTTCTGCCCTCGTTTACAACACTTTTTGGTGACACCAACATGGAAAGCGTCAAATTCCAGCAGGATAACGCACCTTGTCACAAACGATGGCTTGGTTTAGTGACAATAACATCGAGCTGCTTGAATGGTCTGCCCAGTCACCAGACCTGAACCCCATCGAGCATTTGTGGGGTCTATTGAAGGACAAGGTCCGGCGCCATTGAATAAAAACAAAAGAAGACCTAAAACGTCGCTTGCGGGAAGAGTGGAACGCTTTAACATGTGACGATTGTAATAAATTAGTACAATCTTTACCAAAAATAACTTCTGCAGTAATTAAGGCAAAGGGTGGTCCAACAAAGTATTAATTTTTTGTTGTTAATAAACAATATAATACTGTTAAAAACTGTTTTTATTCAGACACATGTATAATACCTTCAAAATTAATAAATATCATGGGTGCTCAATACTTTTGGCCAAGGCTGTATATAAACTATATTTAACACATTAAAAGCCTATAACTAGTTTTAACACGTCCGTCCTATCAGACCGATGTTACACAGGTAATTGTTTGAATTGGCCGCTGCGATACAAGCTTTCTAGCTTAGTGCAGAGACCGCCAGAATAAATTGTAGTGACATCTTTGAGAAATGAATACTTTTTTACTTACTTACTAGTTGCAGAAAAAGAATAGAATATCAACTCACCACTAGCCCTAGCCGAAGCGCGCAGCTGCGCGTGCGACCGCGCGTGCCTGCGTGCGGGCCGCGCGCGCGTGTGTGCGTGACGCACGCAGCATATACTCGCGGCCCGCGCTGCGTTCGCGCCGCCACACTCGATCGGGTCGAGGCAGTCGTCCTGGAATAACAATCTATATAAATAAAAATGAATTGATGTTCGTTAGTCTGATTAAAACTCGAGAACGGCTGGGCCGATTGAGCTGATATTGGTTTTAAAATGTTTGTCGTAGTCCAGGGTAGGTCTAAACGGTGAGCAAATACGCGCGCGATATTGTTTTTCTGTGACAGACAAAATTCCACGCGGGCGAAGCCGCGGGCGGAAAGCTAGTTTTGAATAAAAAACTGCTGTCACACGTAACTTAGAAAATTCATATGTCAAATAGTGGAAGGTAAGCTTTTAGGAAATAGGAAACATTATTCCTGTGCAGCTTTCAAGAAATAAATCACGCCATAACCAAGTGTCTGAAAATATAAAATGCTACACTAGTTAATCTAGTTACCCTTACTCCTCTATATCGGTCGAGGTCAAGCGATCCTGGCTATAAATAAACCACTACGATCAATGTTATTAATAATTATTAATTCTGCCTAAAAAGACACCCCCTAGACAAGACTTATTCGGCAGATGGGTCGGGCTATTTGTATTCGCACACTACACCGATTTGGTATCGACCGAATCCGCATGCAACCCAACTACTTGCCGAGTAAGGGGTAACTAATTCGTTAAACAGCTAATCTTTACTCATAGGTTTCCGGGGGGGACGGCGCGTACGCAGTCCCCACTACCAAAAATTACGCATCCGAGTTATCCACATTAGGGATAATCGCAGGGGTCAACCGTTCCGCAGTGCAATGGAATAGCCTCGCCCTGGGGGAACCGCCTTCATGATCACGGTGTCCCCTATGCCAGGTAAGTATGCTTTGGCTGCGGCGGCCCGGGGTAGTCTAGAAGGGAAAAAAAATCTGGACACCGCGGGACAGAAATACGCGTCTCAATCGCCTGAGCCATCTAGCGTGTCTCGCGCGCAACCAAAGCGTGCTAATCAGTGCGCAGAGTTAACAACGCCACCTGGCGGATATCACAAAATATGTGTAGCATTTATCCACGATATAATAACGCTGCAACGCCATTACACAAGATGGAGCTCGATTGTTTATGATTATTCGGATTATCAAAAATTCTCAGGCAGTCTTAGTAAAGTGCCTTTCTGATAAATTATAGGCTGAAACTCAGCTAAAGTCTGATTTTTATTTCAAGGGAATTTTGACAGCTGTAATTTTTTGACAATTCAGATGTAATAAAACTTTTTTGCTTTGAATTATTGGAATAAAGGTAATAAAAAATATGCAACTGAATTCAATGTATAGCCTGACCAGGAACATAAAAACCCTGGCATAGTGGCGCGTCAATTGCATTTGATAGTGCAACACTGAGTACAGTCGTACCTGTGTTAAATTAATAGGCTAACTTTATGTATCAGGATTACGGGCTTATTTGATATTTTCATAAATTAACGAAAAAATATTATTATAGGTAACCTGATTTAAATAAATTAAATGAAACCATCAATCGAGCTAGTAGAATTTATTTTATTATTCATCAATAATCAAATTCAGAACTTGAATATTCAACTGCAATGTCTGCTCATGAACGCTTCAAACTCGGTACTTCTTTCCCAATCCCATAAAATTCAACACTTAGAAAGTGACAAAAAAATTTAAAATAGGTAGTTGAAACAAACCACAGCTAATTTTCATAGTGGACTGTACTATACGATAAACATGTCAGTCAATTTGACAACCTTTGTCGGAAACATTATTCAATGAAAATATTGTCCAAACCCTTAGTATTTCTCTTCGACAAATGCTTTAACACATTGTGAACCACTTTTCTTTCACGACTATAAAAATATTTTAGCAATTTAATTCATAAAACCAATTGCGCACATTTAAAATAAACTTTGTTTACACTTTGACAGCAATAGACTGACATGCAAGGTGACATGTCAATGAAGTTTTCAGTTACTGTTGCCATTAAAAGAAATTAGTACCATTAGTTTTCCGCAACATGGCGAGGGTTTTTATGTTCCTGGTCAGGCTATACACAAATTATTATTACATTTTAGTGGTTAAATAGAAAAAACGTGTTTTTATCATAGTAAACCAACATAATTATCATAAACGAAAATATGTATGTATTGATCATCAATCATCATTGTCGTCATCATAATCAACTTGGATTATAAAATTGGCATCTTGTTAAATTGGCTATTTTATGAAGCGAAGATTTTACTAACAAAATGGTTTTCATAAAAAAGGTTTGTAACCTATGGATTATTAGCCAGGGAGTACTATAGTTTTAAGTCCCTGTGTTCTTTTTTTTTATTTTCTTTTTTGTGTCAAATAAGACTTTTCTTATTCTTATATTTTTTGTAACTTCAAAAATATGATAACAAAAACTCAAATAACCATTTTAAAATGATCAGTACATTTTTCAGTCTTAGTTATTATTAAATTGAAATCTTAAGTTTCAAATAAGTTAACCTATTTTTTAATTTCTGAAAATGCTCTCCAAGGATTTCTAGTGGGAATGTTTAAAACAATGTTTGCAACTTAACACCTCTGAAATGTATTCCGTGGAATTATAATTCAGACTACTATATTTACTCATAGGATTCCGGGGGGGACGGCGCGTACGCAGTCCCCACTACCAAAAATTACGCATCCGAGTTATCCACATTAGGGATAATCGCAGGGGTCAACCGTTCCGCAGTGCAATGGAATAGCCTCGCCCTGGGGGAACCGCCTTCATGATCACGGTGTCCCCTATGCCAGGTAAGTATGCTTTGGCTGCGGCGGCCCGGGGTAGTCTAGAAGGGAAAAAAAATCTGGACACCGCGGGACAGAAATACGCGTCTCAATCGCCTGAGCCATCTAGCGAGTGTCGCGCGCAACCAAAGCGTGACGCGACGCAATACAACGGGCAACTGAACGAACAACGCCATCTTGCAGCAAATATTAAATCAAGAAGAATAATATTGACGACTCTTTTTTTACCTTATAAGGTAATAACGTTTGATGAGTTCCATTTAAGTGAGTAGTAAAATAACTTGCTTTAATTAATTAAAATAACACCAGAATCAGATTACTCCGCCAACGCCATCTGGTGAAAAGTAACAAAAATACCTAATATGAGGCATAAATGCATACAGCACAGTCATACAAAATACAAAGAAAGTCATCGCGCTAGATGCAGCTTGGTTGTTTGTGATTCAGTTTCCCGGATATAAATCACATTTTATTAATAAACATGATCGAAGATGATAATTATGCAACAATCTAAACTCAAATAGCCATGAGTACACATAACTGTGACATAACCTTAAAAGCTGATTGGCTTTTTTGGTATCATAAATATTTTTTATCTCTTAAATATCTCTTCTTAATATGCTGTAGTAACCAACAATACAATATCTACAATAATATTTAATTCCTGAGAAATAAAATTCCAAAATATGAGTGAGACTGAGCAGTGTTAGAAAATGGTGATAAAAATTACAAGGGTCGGTTTCCACTTTCCACTAATATTGCAAGAATACTTGGGGGTTAGGTATTCCACACTACTACAAATAAAGTTATCAAATGAAAGAAGATATTATAGAAGGTATTAAAATAATAATAATGGCGCTGAGTTAACAAGTTTCCGTGGATAGGGGTTCTAACAATATGTCTCTAACCCTCCCTTCCCAGTTTAACTTCAAACAATTACTTACTTTGGGTGTAATTTTTATTTTATTACTATTGAGCAGGCAGGTAGACTATCATTGTGTATCATTTTCCCCAAAAATGCTCTGACCGTGGTATTTTAGGATGCCAATTTTTTTAATTACTATAAATATTTTTTATTCCCATTTGCCTAGTAGTTATTTGAAGTAATTTAAGTGCTCAGTAGAGCTGATAGGTAGACTAGCACTGACTTTTGATTGATGACTAAATTCTAACAATGGTATATTTGGATGCCAATTTTTTTAATTACTTTAAATATTTTTTAATACTACTGAGCAGATAAACTAGCATTTACTTTTGATTGATGGCTAAATTCTAAGTGGTATTTTTTGGGTGCCAGTTTTATATTAGCTTTAATATGTATTATTAAAAATTGATTGTCCTTTAGCAATAGCAGCAAATCATTTGAAATAATAAGCCATGTTATTTACTGTATGTGAAGGTAGATACCTTTTTATATTTTTGTCTTTTTGGTGATATGTATTAGTAAATTATTCTGAGATAAGTACATATTATTTTTAATCAAAGCGTAGAAGTTAGTAACTACTTCTAGAATGTGACTCGTCTAAATTCTCATAACTACGCGTGATTTTAACTTTTGCTATCATTTATCAATTCACATTATTGACATAGTTTGCCTTTGCACAGTATTTTCTTTGTATTCGTACCACATGTTAAATGTGTTTAGGCAGCTGGACAAAAACAAACAGTAACAAATTCAATGTCGTAAGCTTTGCCCTTGGCACGGTAACCCACTGTCACTGGTTATTAAGAAATGTAAAAAGCATTTTAATTTAATATAGCTTCGCGTTGTTTGCATTAGTACTCCCCAGGTTCCTTTGAGTTTCAATCTACAATTTATCAGAAAGGCACTTTACTGAGACTGCCTGAGATTTTTTGTGTTCTAATAATATTATAATCCACAGATATGGATTAGAGTAGATACAGCAAGTTGCTCGTCAAAGCGTGCCATTCCGATATGTCCAAATGGACATACATGGTCGAGTGATGTTCATGTAATCCGATTACAACAATCGGTTACGATGATTTTACGAGGACAGTAGTACGAACACGGTAGAAAGAAGAAATTATTTACGGATTGAGAATTGTAATTAACAGCACAAGTAACAAATAATTAATTAGAATAAAGTAGCAGTAGAAGAAGTATAAAGTAGCATTGTTTTTAATACATATCCTGCGATGTACTCTTAAGAGTTAAAACCATGGTCCCTGTATGTGGTGCACTCATACCGATCCCAAGGAACCGTACTTACTCATAACAATAAGACACACACTGATGCATGTATTCATGCACTTGACAAATTTATGTCT